GGCAATTTGGGAGGCAGCAGGGGGTGGTCCTTCAAGGCTGCGGCTAGGTTTCGAATCCGTTCCAAATCTGAATCTTCTTTCGTGCACCAGTGGCGATGAGGTTCCACTGTCAATCCCTGATCAAGATCGTTCGAAGACATGGATCCCTCCGAATCCCAAGATTCCACGCTCTCGACGTCTACGTCGACGGCTTCGGCCTCGGAGTCTAGGGCTGCCCCAACTTCTTCATGGATCCCGTCCCAGCAGAAGTTGTCCTCCGGCGCGAGACATGCGGGCTGCGGAGTGTCTTCACACACATGTGAGTCATGACAGAGAGGGCTAGTTGCTGACACGAGCGACGCTCTTGCCACTGGCAAAGCTGAGCTTCGTTTCGGAGGTTGCGAGTCATGACAGGGAGGACTGGTTGCTGTCTTGAGCGACGCTCTTGCAGCTGGCGAAGTTGAGCTCTGTTTCGCTGCGGCTTCGGCCTCGGATTCTGGGGCTGCCCTTATCTCTTCTTGGACTCCGTCCCAGCAGGTGTCGTCCTCCAGTTTAGAACATGCGAGCTGCGGAGTGTCTCCAGAGATTTGTGAGTCATTACACGGAGGGCCAGTCGCTGACATGAGCGACGCTCTCGCCACTGGCGAAGCTGAGCTCCGTGTGTGTGGTTGTGGTGTGCTTCGGTCCTCGGGGGGGGGTGCCTGCGGCGCCGGCAACGGAGGTTGAGCAGCCTCCAACAGCTGTTGGACTACTTCTAAGACGGCTCTGGCACCCTGTGCGCGAAAAGCTTCAACGAAAGGCGTGCTTGGGAAGGGGTCGCCGATGTTCTGGCTACGTTCCACCAAGTCGTAGTGGCCGGTGACACCCATGTCTCGATGTACGAGCTCCAACACGGGGCTATGGTGTTGCAACTTTGCGTGCGCTTCCTGGTCGGTGAGGCACTCCATGGACCGGACCCAGTAATTCACATTCGCTTGGGCACCCCAAATGAGACACTCAAAATCGAACTGTTGGGTCAAAGCCCACAACTCCACACCGGCAGAAGCGTGGTGGATCGAGTCTAACATGGCCGGCTGGAGCAACACTGCATGGAGCTTACTAAGTAAGACTACTTCAGTCGTGTTCGAGGGCGCAGCGTTGATGGCCGTCGGCTGTTGTCGAAGGAAGTGCTCACGCAGCTGCAATTCGTCATCGTCGAACGGGACACACGCCGTTGCGACTGCCTCTGCGTGCGGCCCGTGCTGGGCCGCCAACAACCACTCAATGGCTTGCAAATAGATTTCGGCAGCTGCGCCGTGGCCTGAGTGTGTGCTGCCTTTGAAGTATCGGCTCACGGCGTAGAAGAAGCACCAACCGTCTCCCGGCATGTGCGCAACATTCGACCGAATTCGCGCTTGCAGCGTCTCGGCAGCGCCAGGATTGCCGTTCAGGGCGTGCTGCTCACGATTTCGGACCTTTCGAGGTAGGTACCATCTCGGTGCCGTCTGGGCTTGGGGACACCCTTTTCGCACGTCTCGCCGGGTATGCAAGCGGAAGCCATACCCGCAGAGATCAACGCAACACACGACGTCCAGTTGCTCGGCACGGCGACAACCAAGAGCACAGCTAAGTTCCCACTTCTGCCCACCACTGACCTCCGTACTCACGGCGTAGAACAGACACCCGCCCTCGCCCGGCACGAGCAGGAAGTAGGCCCGTATTTCGCTTTGCCGCACCGCCTTGCCCTTCGCGGCGTGCGGCTCTCGCCTGCGTCGCCCTCGTGTTGAATCCCCTCGGGCGTGGCCCATGCATGCCGCTTGATAGCCCACTGGGGTCACTGAGGCGCCGTGACATCCGCAGACCAACAACCAAATCCAGCCACACACTTGCAGCGCTGCGCGCAACCGTCTCCGGGCCTTCTGTCGGCGATGTCCTTTGCAGCGCCGACCACCGGCGGAGCGACTCTTTCGGATCCAGCCTTAGCCTTGCTTGCACGAACTTGCTCGGAGTGCGCGCCGAGCTTGCAGGCCGAAGACACAGCCGCAGAGGTTGATGCAAAATAATAGGTCCAAATGCCTTGCAGAGCTGCACAAGATAGCACAGCTGCTAGCCAGAAGCCAAGTGCACAGGAACCAGCGACTGGGTAGAGTCCGACTCCAATGTGTATGCATCGACGCCAGGCACTTGCGCCGCTCACTTTGGAGCGACGCAACGCGGAAAATCCCTTGAAGGAGACAGTCTCCAGATTCTGTTGCATGTGCTTCTTACGATTGGGTTGCAGCACCATGTATACCGACTCCAACCTCTGTGTGGCGTCTGTCTTCTCCCATTACCACCACTTAGAATTCGATGCCATGTGTCTTGCATGTATGCGTGCGCTTGCTAGAGCCATGTGCACAAACTCATGTTCTCCACCCCCGACCAAAACCTACGTCCCCCGGACGGCGCGCGCGCGACCACGCTGTTGCAGGCGCGTGCGCGCGCACTACCCACGCGCCCGACCCGAAGTTAGAACGGCCAGCGACACCGAGCGTATGCGAGCTGTCGGCAGAGACTTCGCACAGGTCCACTCAGGCAGGTTTTTCACACGAGTTCATGCGTCCTTTTTTGGGCACGGCTCCAAGTTGTGCTGCGAAATGTGTAGCACAGGGCAAAAAAAAAACGAAAGCGCACATCACCAGACAGCTGCATTCCACATTCACAAGACAGCGGGGGTGCTTTGTTTGTAATTGTTTGTGTGTCTGTGGTTGAAAGCGCACTTCACATTCCACATGCACAAGACAGCCGGGATGCCGCATGTCCCATCCCCCGCGCAAACCTCTGTTCTGGCACGCTTTGTTTCTTCACAAGACAGCAGGGATGCTTTGTTTGTAAGTGTTTGTGTGTCTGTGGTTGACTGCGTCTGGGTGCGAAATGTGTCGCACAGGCAACCAAAAACATGAAAGCGCACATCACCTTCCACATTCACTAGACAGCAGGGATGCCCCAGGTCCCAGCCCCCGCGCAAACCTCTGCGTTGGCACGCTTTGTTTGCGCTTGTTTGTACGTCTGCGGTTTACTGCGTCTTGGTGCGGAGTGTGTGGCACATTCCACAACAACGTGAAAGCGCACATCACAAGACAGCTGCATTCTACATTCACAAGAAAGCACAACGAAAAGCATAACCGCTCCTTTTTTGCTGTCCGCTCGGACTCGTTCAGTCGTTGCGGTCGAAAATAGGTAGCACGAAAAGGGATCGAGCTCGGGTTTTCTTCTGGCGATACAAACGAGGATCGAACGAAGTGCGCACTTGTCAAGAGGCCTGGGAGTCGTCCCTGGGGCTGTGGCCAGCTGGTATGAGCGACGCTCTAGCCACTGGCTTCCAGCTCTTGTCTGGCAGAACTCTGCGTCGGGATCTCTGACACCACGCTAGTCTGCTGGCCATTTCTCTGCGGGGCTGGGTCATAAAACTGTTTCAAAGTACGGAACTAGTTCTTCGAGTACCTCGGGAGGGACAAGTGGTTGACCACGATTAGCAAACATCTGCTGCTGTGCCATGGCTGAGACCGACAGGCAAACAAAAAAGGTCGAGTGTGCTTGGTTGCTCTTGCTCTCTAACGCTAGCGGTCTCCCGGCTTCGTCCTATCGCTCTAACAGTTCGGCACCCACCCTGCGTCTCCAACTTACGGCGTCGACGCCTAGACCCCCAACCTCTCCACCCCCGCCGGCCTCGCTGGCGCATCAACTTGCAGACAATGTCCTTACCAGGGCTGTGGCTGGCTGGCATGAGCGACGCTCTTGTTGCCAGCTGACAGCTGCCGCCTCCCAGCATGCATCGAGCTCCATGTGCCTCCTCTCTCTCCGACGGCTCTCCCGACTTTTGGTTGCTGCAAGCAACCAGGGCAGTCAGCCCCCGTCCCTCGGACGGGTGCTGCCGGGGTGCCCCAAACCCCGGCCCCCGTCTTCTTCCCGACACCACACCTCGCCCACACCGCGAGCAACGCCTACCGTCGCCTCGACCCCCACCTCTCTTACCCTAGTTCGCCGGCGCCCGGCTGTCAGGCGTAAGCCTTTAAATAAGAACACAACCATTTACTTTTAACACTTTATACACCTTTTTCATGTTTCTTCTGTTGTTAGTTGTTTTCTATCTTGATACCTTTCTTTTTCCCTTCTCTACTCTTCCCTTCTCGTCCCTTCCCTTGCCTTGCCTTGCTTTGCCTGTCCTGTCCTTTCTTCTTTAGTCAACTTTAGTCACAACACTTTTGCTGGGATCCCCCTCTCAAAAAGGCTCGTGTCATCAAAACTTCACTGTCCACCTTGACGACGCTCCCGCTGCACAGTCAAGACCACCGGGCGATTCCCCAGAGCAGCGTCGAACTCCTCAGGATGCCCAACCAGTCCCCGCAACAAATGCATCGCGGTTAACGCCAAAAGGCCGTGGGTTCTATGAGTCCTATCCTGAACGAGTCAGGAGTCTTTAGTGCTAACAAAAGCTCTTCAAGGCGTTTACAAAATGTCGTTGCGAAATCTTCCAGCTCCTCCCAAGTCATGTTCTTGGCAGACCTCAAGCTAAGAGAGTACAGCGACATACAGCGACTGTGCTCTGCTCTGCGCTCTGCTCTTTGCTCTCATTCTTTCCTCTCTGCTCTGCTCTGCTCTGCTCTGCTCTTTGCTCGCCCTTTTTCAAGCCACATATGCACTCGCAAAGGAACCTACCTCACAGCCCTACCCTGCATGTCTCGGTGCCTGAGTCTCCATGTTCCTCTCTATAGGCGCAGTTGGAGTATTTTCAGTGTCGATGAAGTATGCTGGATATATAGCAGCTTCAGGGTATTTACTGAATTCACATGAATTCACCTATAATGGAGCTCAGTGTCCTGGCCACGCCGGAGTTTGGTGGGTAGTTGCAACGTCAGAGCCTGTGCACTCTGCAGGTGTCTGGACAAAACCTTCCGTTGCGCCTTTGATTATTTACCTCCGAAACGAAGCTCTTTGACCGCATCCGCTGAAGCATAACTTCCTAGGCCTAGGAGTTCGATCTATTACATTGTTTTGGCATAGCGATCTGTTGGCAATGCGATCTGTTGAGGAGGCGGAACTTCGGTGAAACATCTATTAGGCCGTCAAGTCTTGACGGGCCTTAAAAAGGAACGTAAGCCTGTGTGGAGCGCAGCAATTCGAGCGCTACCATCGTGCGAGCACAAGCTCAAGATTGGACAGATTAGACTGATGAAACGCAAAATTAAGGCTTCCATGAACTGTAATCATGGCAAGCCTGAAACTCTGCTGGAGTGCGAGTCTCCAAGATTAGAACACTTTGACTTTTGTGCAGCACTTGCCGCTCTACTGAAAACGATTCAATCGAGTGTCTTGCCGCACGTAGTTCCCTATGACCCGTCGAGCATAGGGATGTCGACGGGCTTCGGAATTGATGGCCCCTTGCCGATCATCCTCGGTCTTTCCGGAATTGATCGCTAGGTTGGAGGCCATCGCTTTCAGGTTTCAGGCCATCGCTAAGCCAGGCCTAGAAAGCCTAGACCCGAAAGGGAATTGTGGCAAGGAGCTGTCTTTTGCTCATTTGGGGGTAGGCCGTGAGAGGTAGGGTAAAAAAGAAAGAGGTAAGAAGCTAGTAGCCTGTGTTTTGTACACAAACATACTAGCTTAAGTGGCTACTAGGCTTGGGACACAAAGGGCTTGGGTTCGCGTAATTGATTTGGTTACTAGATTTGGGGGAACTTTCACCTTTCGACCACATCCGTCACAGCTCACATTTGAACGGCCTAACCGGAGCTGAGGATCTAGGTTCGGGCTCTCGAACAGCTTCTGAATCCGCTCGTTGATCTTCTTGCGCGTCTTGTTCCGAAACTGGAGACTGTGATCGCCCCGGACCCTGACCAAGTCGTGCGAGAGGTGGCAATATGCGCATTCCTCTCCGCGAACACAGCCACCTCAGTCGAACCGCTTCATGTACTGCAAAGTGATTGTGATTGTCTATATACAGTACAAGTCTTTTGGACAAGAAGTTGACTCTTGAACAACCAAGAATTGGAGTGCCATGACACGAGGAGTGGGAAAGAAGACGCAAGGTGAACAAGCGTCCTCGTCATGGCCTTTGTTGTAGCTCCGTCGCGTCTCTGAAGCTGTGGCTTTTCCATCTGGTAGACTCTCTGTCCCCTCACCTGGGTCAGCATCATGGCAGCTCTGAGTCTCAGAATGAACTTTGCAACTACCAGGTTTGCTGTGAACTCCTAGATGAAATTGTGGATAGAATGGGTGTAGATAACCCAAAGACATCATGGGCTTGATCAGAACTTTAAAAAGAGAATGGTTTGCCCATGAAATCAATGAAGTGTTTCGACAGCTGTCTGCATTCTCGGATTTCCAGCCCACCAAACATGAGTCTCATGAGTGTTTTGGAGTACAGCCCTGAACCAATGCTTTTCTGAGTGGCTGCGGCTATCCCCCACAAACTCTGAATCTGTTCTCAGGAAAGCGTTGACCTGCCGTGCTAGTCCTGAGTTCAAGCAAATGCGGCGGATGCGACTGATGACTATTGAGTCACTTTTTTGTTCACCTTCTGACACTTAAAAGTGGACAACTAGCGCTTGGGTGTAGCATGTGGGCTTGGTCTGGGACAACTTTGATCCAAAGACCTATAAGGTATCTGACAAAATATTAACGGAGTGAAAATGGCTTCTGTAACCATCACCTATCTTGATCTGAGAGAGGTCTTGTGTCTTGTACATGAGCAAACCTTCAAACACAAAGTGTCTGGTGCCAGAAGATGTCGATGTACTTCCGGACCGGGTCCTTGGTTCCAGACGCTTGACACTGAAAATCAAACCTGTATACATCAAGAACGGCAAACAAAAACTACAGAAATCCCAAAGCTCTGTCAATCTCCATGCCGTTCCATGCGTGCAGCTTCTTGCAAGTCGAGCTTCTCATCTTGACCCTCACCCTCAGCGCTGTCCATATCGCATGGGAAATAGATGTACTCCAAGAAGATTAATGACAAAGATTGAAACTTCGATGAGCTCGATGAACTCGGATGAGCCCTGTGAGCTCTTGGCTCTTTGAGCCAAAATCCAGCTGCAAGGCCCACCTTTCCGATTCAAATCTTCCCCCACTCAGAAATGGCCTCCACCGTACCAGCAATGGCCTCCACCCTACCAGCAATGGCCTGCACGCCTACTAGCGATGGCCTCCACCCTACTAGCAATGGCCTTCAACCTACTGGCGATGGCCTCCACCCTACTAGCAATGGCCTTCAACCTACTGGCGATGGCCTCCACCCTACTAGCAATGGCCTTCAACCTACCAGCGATGGCCTCTGTTCCAATTGGAAAATTAAATCCATCGAGTCCAAGCTCAAAGTCGGTAGCAAGCACAGGCGAGCCGAAGTGCTTGAGTTGTTGCAGTGGCGCAAACAAGTGTAAAGCCAAAGCTAAGAATTCTCTTTAAGAATTCTTTGCACCCTCCTTCCTCCGAATTTTGACTTTGAGTTAAACGCCGCACATGACAGCATGCAAACTGATACTACGTGCCACGGGGGAGCAAGACCCACAAGAGCCTACGGGCTGGGCAACTGCTCTGCAGCGATGGTAAGGTGAGTCTACTTTAGTGCAGCACATACAAGACGCAAGTGCGCAACGTGAACCGCAGACAGCAAGCACCACAAACGTGCTAGCAAACACGTCTACAAGTGGACCACAAACATGAACCTTGCAAGTCAGACGACTAGCACACAAGACAGGAGACCCCACACACGACTAGCAACCCCTCCCACCTGTCAGACACATGTCTGCACATCTAAAAATGTTAAGAACTCTGTTCGACTTGCTTGCTGCAGTGCGCTGGCACCTCCTACAGGCACGAGAGAAAAGTAAAGAAGGCCAAAGAGGCTTGTGCAAAAATGAGCACGTGTGAAGTTGACATGATTTTTGCAGGGATCATCAACCTGAGACCTTCTGCAGTCTTGGAAATATGCCAAAGTAACTGCAAATTGGCATGTGACATTCGTGAGCCCTTGCAAGTAGCTGAAACATAGGAGTCAGCTGAGCACCTGTCAAGCCATTCACTGAGATGACCTCGTCGTTCGGCAGCAGTTCAGCAGCGGAGAACACCACTACTTTGGTGGCACCACTCCTGGCGCTCAGTTTTGGCAAAACACTAGGCGGCTGGTCTGGACTCCAAAGCGCCAAGCTTTTTGGCGACGTTTTGAACACTGAGACTTATGACGCTACTAGGGGCTCCTGGCATCGCTACTAGGAACACTAAAGCTACTAGGGGCTCCTGGCCGTACTAGTAGGAACAAGAAGCTACTAGTAACAAAGGGCATCGCTACTAGGAGCAAGAGGACGTTGGTCCTGTTGAAGTCAACTTGGCCCTCATTGAGGGTCACAACTTCCTGCTCAAGCTCCCGTTCTCGGGCTTCCTAGACAGCTGTCGGCTCAAACGACGGCCCCGCAAACACATGCAAACACATCATTGTATGATTCACACAGCAACCTTCTTCTCATTCAAAACTCATCTCACAATCGTCCGTCTGTTCATTATGTTCATTCCTACGCTCCACACAGACTCCACAGTCCTCTTCAGGGTTTGCAGCCGCACTGGCCACGCGCAACAGCGCCAGCTCCGCATCCCGTTGGCGAATTTTGCCCAGCAAACCATCCGCAAGCCGCAGCTGCTGTGCCTGTAAGCCAGCGATTTTCGCCTCCGCTTCGGCCAGAGATTCCCGCAGTTTCTGGGCCTGAGACGGCTCAAAAAAGAGACAGAGAGTGACACGACTGCAACAGCATAGTCAAACATTGAATCAGTTCTTCTCATCGCATTCTTAAGTTCTTCTTTTCCCTTCACACTATAAGTGTATTGTGTTTCCTTTCCGTCTTTTTCGAGGTGTCTATCTCGAATCTCGCCTCCATCTCAGCCTTCCGTGCCCGCTTGAGTGCCTCGGGCAGCTGCTGTGCCAGCGCCTGGCGATCTTCAACTCTGACTGCTTTGAAACCGCTTGGAATACACTTCAGAGCTCTGCAAATACTCAATAATACGCTGCAAAATACGAAGTAGTCCAACACGCCTCAGAGGCTTGGGCGGCTTGCTGCAAAAGCTCTGCAGCAGCGCGGGCCTCCAGTTCCGGCGTTCCATTTATGAACTTCATCAATGAACTCACCAAAGAACGGGGACCCAAAAAGAAGAAAACACACACACGATCTCTACAAGAAGTGGACAGGTGAGGCGATTTGAGGTGCCTCCTTTTCTGCATCTTCTTCTGGAAGAGAAATCATCTCCTGGGTCGACGCAAAGTCCCCAACACATTTTTGGGGGGACATCTGCTCCCACAAACCGGATAAAACGTGAAGGAAACGCGTTCGGACAACGAAAAGCAGGGAGTCTCCGACGGTGCCTCCAAGGTTTGCATGGGAGTCTCCGACGGTGTCGCAGGCATAGTCCCAGGCGTAGTCGCAGGCTCCTCATCCAACAGATCTCCGATGCGCCTTGGAAAGAACATGAGTTCAGGAGTGCATAAAGCGTCACTGAACTCCATGTGCTCAAGCTGACAACATGAGTTCTCGGAGAATCACCGGAGGAACTGCATAGCTCAAGTGGCTCCCACGCTCCGGGGAATTTGCAGTGATAAGACTCGGTTCTTCGGACTTTGTGGTGACTGTAGTCTGAGTATCTTCGTCTGTAGTGCTCGGATCATGGTTGCAATGAAGGTGTTTGTATACGATGTGCAGAGGAAGTGTCGTCAGCATTAGCTAATAGACCGCTGCTCCTCCATTAGTCTTTGTTCTGGTGTCTTATCATGTCCTATTGTGCCTTATCTGCATCTGGGTTCAAACAGGAAACGCTGCAGAAGCGCCAACAGTTCAAATGATGCAAACCAAGCCCACAAAAAGCAAATGGCACAACGATGTGTGTGTGTGCGTGTGTGTGTGTGTGTGTGTCCATGAAGGGACAAGCAAAGGGCTCTGGATTCGAACTCCAAAAGAATCTTTCTGCTCAGCGCAGTCACAAGAGAGACGTGGTTGCCCAGCTGCACTAGGACGACATCTGTGGGGTCGGGATCCATCAGCAAAGGCTAAATCCAATGGCAAAAAAATAGGCTGGAGGCCATTGGAGGCCTAAGAGTGAGGATCCCCGGCTTGAGCCTTTACTCACCAGGTAACGGCCTTCATACAAAGCTGACTGCCGCAAGTGATCAAGAATCGGAGCTGCAAGAAATATCACAAACAGAATTTGGCAGTCAGCCTCTGCTCGTCACCTGATGAGACTGTAAATCAAAGCCTATGAGCCTTTCAATACCAATGGACAGTGACAATGACTCCAAGACCAGGGTAAGAGTACACTCAGGCCAAAGGAAGATCCGTCATGTTAGGCTCGGAGGCCATCGCTACTAGGCTCGGAGGCCATCGCTACTAGGGTGGAAGCCATTGCTATTAGGCTTGAAGTCTTAGATCTAAGGCCCATGCTCTCAGCCAGGTGACTGGCCCTGGCCTTTGTCAAACCTGGCCCGAAGCAAACGGCCCTTCTTCAAATCATGACGGCACTGTCACAACACGCACCTTGTTCTGCTTGCGCCAGCCGCGCCAGCAGCTGGGAGCCACGCAAAAAGAAGTCCCTGCGAGCAAAAAACACAGCACATTGCAGGAAGGAAAGGACTGTCAAAGCTATTTCACTACTAGGCTGGAGGCCATCGCTATTAGGTTCCTTTTGATCTTTTGCAGGAAGGGAAGGACTGTCAAAGCTGTGGGCCCATCCCTCCTTTCGCGCTTTCTCTCAGCCTCAAAGGGCTAGGATGTTTGTGGGCCGAGTGGACCCTGTGGTGATAATCAGGAGCCCCTAGTAGCATTCTTGCTCCTAGGCCAGGAGCCCCTAGTAGCGTCCTTGCTCCTAGTAGTAGACAGGGTAATATGCTAAGTTTGGAGCATCCCGAACATGTCATGAAATCAGGCTGAGTCTTGGGCTTTCCCCAAGCGATCTTCGTGCGCCATTTGTTGACGGTTCCTTGGACGCCGACGATTTGCTTTTGTATGGTCAAGCGCAAAAGAAGCCTACGACACCAAAGAAGTAATGAAAGAATTGTAAAAATATCTTGTAGGTTGGAGGCCATCTACTAGGAACAAGAAGCTGCTAGGGGCTCCTTGCATCGCTACTAGGAGCAAGGACGCTACTAGGGGCTCCTGGCCTTACTACTAGGAACAAGAAGCTACTAGGAGCAAAGGCCATCGCTTCTAGGAGAATCATAGTGATCTTTGCTCCTGGCCACCGTTCAAGCAGCTTCTGCCGATGCGATGCACGGCTCTGCTCTGCTCTTGCCTTGGGCCAAGCAGTGTCGGTGGCGCTGTGTTGGAGGTCCAGTGGAGGGTCACAGTTCTGATGGTCTCGGCTTCATTTGATCACCACATATCTCATTCAAGAAATAATAAAGGAAGAAAGGTCTAAATGCTATATACATAGAAACTGTAAAGTAATTCTACGACACCTCACATGATGCATTTGCCCTCCCGTCTCCGCTTTAACCACCTCAACACCACTGGGCTGCCAGGCCAAGCGGACCTCCCGGACATCCCGAGGCATCCCGGCCTGCCAAAGCCATGGTCAAAAGGATTCAAAACGAGTCCAAGTGCAAATCGAGTTATCACGTCAAGTTTCTACCTTGCTCCTTTGGAACGTACCACAATCTCCTTCTGAATGCTTATATAGATATGACTTGGGACCTACCACTTTTGACAAAGAACTTTGAGGGGGGAGGTTGTTGTCGTCAGCTTCCAGGCCTCAGCCTCCACATCCAATAATGTGTTCCGGAGTGCTAGCCAGGACCTTCCACCAAATGGCGTTCACGTCGCTCAAGACTGCAAAATGGATCAAAGTGGACAATTGAAATTGATTGGACGCCATGAAAAATCATCCACACAACTAGCCGCAAACCTCTCTTGTTCAATCTTTTTCCATCGGCCTCTCTTCTCTCAGCGAAGGAGGACCTGCCCTCTCTGTAGCACGCAAGGCCTCGGGGAAGAGATTTAGACTAAAATGCATGGCTCCTCTCGCACTTGCGCAAGTAAGTGCATCTGTTGGTAGATTCTCTTAGGTTGGAGGCCATCGCTATATGAAACAAAGAAACATGGAAAGGGAGAAAGGTCTAGTAGCTTCTTGTTTCTAGTAGCGATGCACTTGTTACTAGTGGCTTCTAGCTACTGAAAGGTCCAAATATACTTTGCTACTCAGGTCCAACCAAGTCAATATCTCTCCGTCATCCGGCCTCCCGTGCCCGGTGGAGTCGCCTTCGATCGTCGGTCGCACCGTCTCGATCTGTCTCAAGTCTCAACCCATCTCGATCCGTCTGCACTCCGCGAATCGAAGGCAGTGACCTCCAGGCATAAAGAGCGCATCGAAGACTCACCTCGCGGACCCGGGGCGATCCAGCGCTCGGAACTATATGCCTTCCACGTGAGCGTTCGTCGAGAGGCTGTCATAGGCATGTTTATAGGCATGATTAGATATCTGCAAAAGCTTCGATACTGGCCAGATAGGGCCAGCTGGTCAGATATGGAAGGGACAGGGATTGCATTTTTTCATGGTTTGAGAGGCCCTTATTAGATCTTATTGGCACACTTAGATCGCCCCGGTTCGATGACGAATCTTTTCGATCCTGCAGGGTTTATGGCCAGGGGCCAGCTGGTTCCCTAACATGCCCGGAGCACCTCCTTGGGCTAAGCACTCCTATCGCCGCACACAGCACCGAACGAGAAGACAGATATTCTTCGTAAAAAATCAAAGAGTGTTCGACTTTTTGACTTTTCGACTTTTTGGAAAGGTCCCCCTGGCTGCAAACAATTTTTCAACCTTTTGACGTTTCTAGTTTTGATTGTTTGATGTTTGCAACTTTTCGGAAAGGCTGCCTGCACGCTGGAGACAACTTTTCGACCAAAAACAAACTACAGGTTGGTCATTGTGTTTTTGTTTGGCTTGGAACAGTGCTTGGCGACTGCCTAAGGCATTGATTGATGTGCTGTGT